GTACATTTTCAGACCCAAGGGCATAACGCAGGAACAGTTGTCTCATGTATTGCTATATGTTGTCATCCATGATTGTGCTTCTTCTTAACTTTAATAGAAACTAACGAACCAGCAAGTTGTAGACATCTTAAATACTGGCGTTAGTGAATAACACAACTACAAGCCATATTTTAATAGATTAAAACAAAGTGAACGGGAGAAATTATATGTAACATAATAATGAAGATTTTCAGTAGCACAAGTTTTAGGCAGACTGTCGTTAGCTGTTACAAAACACCTGGTGTTGCTAGACTGACCAACTTTAAATAACAAGGATCTAAAAACACTTTAGTAGTAGTTTGAAAATATCCTTTACTGAAATGTGCTTAATTCTAATTAAGTAGGTAAAACTAATGTCCAAAAAATTCTCTTTGTCCTTCGTCATTAAAAATAGGAAAGGATTATATCTGGTGTAGTCAAGTTTGGTCAGCTACTCTTTTATGAAACGAAAACGCTTTCTGCTTCCCTTACAATTCTCTTGAAGTGCTCGGATATCATAAAATTTGAAACGTTTATGAAAGCATACAACAACACTTGACACACTTAGTAGATGTCCTATGCAAATTTATGCAGCTCAGAACAATATGATTTAATCCCTTAGGTCAATGAATATGTACAGATCTGTTCTGCATTATTCACTGAATGGCTAATAGTTAGGCTAAGTGATACTACTTACTGTCTAGTGTATCTTGCAGTTAAATAATGATGGTTACCTTAGCAGCATTATTTGTATAGAATCTTTTGTAATCAGTATAATTTTGTTTACTTTAAAAACGTAAAGTTAATATCTCTTCTATAAGATCTAGTAATGGGAAATAAAGCTACATAAATACAATGAAATATTTAAAGGATTCATGTGGAGAATGTCTCTGTTGCTAAGATCTAAACGCGAAAACACAAACAAACAGTATTGTTTACAATAAAATCCTTTTTAAAAACATTAAGGTTTCTTTATACATCAGAGGAACATTTCAATCATTTTATTTTCTGTGGAGGATGCATCTGTTCCATCGACAGGTGGAATATTGATGACTCGCTAGATGAGGAAAGAAAGTTGGGCAAAAAAATGTATGAGTCAGTTGAGCTGACTAGTAGCTGCCCGAAATGTAATTCAAGCTGATTCAAGACATAGTTAAAGGTTCTTTAGTTCTGATTCAGGATGCGATGGTTGAAATAAGACTAGCTGAGAGCCACCATGGTGCTCTATTACGGGCACTTTAAAAGCTGTGGACGAAGCCTCGCTGCAAGCAAACCTTTTGCCTTATAACAGAACAAGGAAAGAAGGGAGTGCTCATGATTTTCATAGCTTTCCTAGTACGGGTTGGCAGGTCTGACCCTATTTGCAGAAAAAGCTAGTAGAGTTTGTCGTGTAAGGTATGCTTATCATTAGGCCTGTTCGCTTACATTGTCACTCGTGTTTCATAGTGTATTTACTTTTTCATGGTTCTCATTCTCCTGAAAATTTATTGTCTGACGATTACGTGTTTTACTATTATTTATCCATAATTTTTAATTAATAGTCTTCATTTGTACAACTTCATAGTTTTTCCAAGAATGTTTGATTAGTTCCTTTTTGTTATGTTCAAAATCACATAATTTCTTCAGATTTTGCGATTAACCCCATCGATTTTTATCACTTCTGTTGTGAATATTACTACTGTTAATAAATCCATGATCACAATTATTTGTTTCAGTTTTCCAAATAAGCAGTAATTCTTCAATGAATAAGTGTTTTTGATATTCACCTTATACTACTGAAGCCTTTTTAAGTAGCAAAATTGATTGTGCGAAATTTATATTTGTGATGCCTCCAGTATTCAAAATAAATTGTTCTTGAAACAAATTCTCAGTGTATATCAACGGTTCTTTAAAATTCTCTGTATCAAAAAAAGAAATACACAGCGCTTGGCGGCCATTGGTATTGGAATCTGGAACTCTTCTGATGTCCTATCGGGGACTTATCAGCTAGGTACACATGCGTCTCCGTGAGTGTTAATGATTTTCTAACCCCAAGTATTTCAAACACTAATGAGTGATCCACTACCACTACAAGTCACAGTAACCAAGTCCTGTGAAACATTTATCAGTTGCTATTTGTTGAACGCTGTGGGAAGATTGTTCAATCACACCCTGAGGGCAATATAAATTAAAGGTAATGATAAACATGATGACTACTAAAATGGATTGATTGTTTTGCCCTGGATTGGAAATTAAAGCAGCTAAGTAGTTATAATAAAAGATACCAGTCACACTGAAATAATACAAAAATTGAACTATCCTCCTGGTGTACTACACAATGAAAGTGTACATTCCAGTCGTATGGATATCCCAGATGCGATACATGAACAGATTTCTTTGAGTGGGATAGATGCAACAGTTTTAATGGGTGAAATTTGAGTTGATCTCAGTATTAATATGAAAAAAATAGTGAAACCTTAGTCTTCATTGTTGAATGAATCGTTCTGGAGATTATTCCTTCTGGATTATTGGAATTTCTTAATAATGACACACTGTGTACTGCTATTCTTTATGATTTCTTTTCTAGGGTATATGAACTCGCATGCTATGATCAGCATTACCAAGTGTTTGTTCTATAATTCATATGGGAAATTCTCCATGATCATGTGAATCAGGTAGTCAAAAATAAATATTGGTGTAGTGTTACATATGTTTGGTTTGTGTGTGTGTGTGTGTGTGTATATACATGCTTGTGACTGTATCTAACTATGGTCTGTTGATTCAACCAGCAGCCTACGTTTCTGTTGAGATTTTGCAGTCATCTCTTCATTTTTAATACTTCTTAAAGTATAGTTCAAGCATGAACCACCGAATCGGCTTAAAGATTACTTTTCTAGGATCGGTTAAATTTCTAATTCCTTCAACTTTACTGCAAGCTGATTTCCTTATTCAAAGGAAATCGTGATTAAACTATGATTTGGCATTTAGTATGAAGAATATTATAAATGAAATTTAGAACAGATGTTCAATAAGAAATATCCAATACAAACCTACAGGAACCCAAATAGTTCAGTGACTGTGACTGCTGTGGCTGCAGCACTAGGTGACGTGAGTCCGAATCTCAGAAGGAACATGAGTTCCTTCAAGTTTGCAGATACGTCTTACTGATAAGCGCTAACTAGCACGAAACCTGGATTCAAGGCTTGCTGCCGACTGCCACCAACCATCTAATAGTTGGGAATCTAATTTAGAAATAACATGCGAAGTATATCACAGAGACAGGACATAAAATTGACGTTAAAACATCTTTCAAACTTATCTATAAAACGTGTCTGGGGCGTATCCAAAGTTTTTGGCAGCCCTAACAATTAGAAAGTGTAAACCACCTTTATGCGTTCAAAAACAATTTGTCATCACACTAAACCTACCTTCCTTGGTAAACGATGTTTTGATACCAGTCAGGGCAGATGTACTATTACCTCTGTTACTTGGTTTAGTGATCTTCATTGTTATTTTGTCCTTTTAACTTGACCTAAGTAGTCTCTTTTCTCACCTCTTACCTCTTCATTAATTTCATACATATTCCTATGATAAGTCTGTGTGTGATCAGATTGTTCGAAATGTATTACTCAAATGCATCAGAAGATTCAGACAGATTACGTCTTTTTATTGCTTTGTTTAAATTCATTAAGGGAACTAATTGATTTAAATAACGTGTTGGTCATAATGCATGTCAACTAGACCATTGCCTTTTGATGCGCGAAATCGAAAAATTCGCAGAATAGTTAATTCTAAATAATATTCACTAGAATTGAAATGTTGAAAAGAAAACAATTTTTCCAGTCATCCAACATTTTTATACCATTTTGCACTAGCTAAAATATATACGATGCATGTTCTGTATTGAGAGTAGTGTATATACAGCGCAAAAGTCTTAAGAAATATCTAGCCCAGATATAACTTGGATCCGCTCACTTTAATTAAATACACAGAAATCCTCATAATTTCATTAGTCTAAAATTCAGGATTTACAATCTCCGACCTTCAGAAATAATTCACTACATATAAAGTTACCATTTTCATTAATACAAGAAATTTGCAACATCTATGATCTACATATCTACAATTTACATTATCAACCTGTTTATCAGTTAGGTGGCGATAAGGTACCCACCAGCGACGCACGTGGTCATGAGTTAGACCCCCGGCCGACTCAAGCTGAAGTCTGAAGCCCTATTTTCCAGTCGGGATGCAGATGAATAGAATAGTTAATAAATAAGTTATTAGCCTAGAGTTCCAGGTTCCTGCTTTTATCCTTTATTTTTGGCTGTTGCATTGTTCCCTTGATTACCAAGACTTAATATTTTATCCCATCTTTGTCATCCCTATGTTAAACTTCTACTTTTTTGTGTATACAGGTTTTATCTCCATGACAGCCTTGAACTGAAATTACTGGTAGCTGAGGTCTCGAATACCGTGTCAGTTTGACTGTTATTTCACCTGACGCTTTTTCAGTAGTATTTTCAGTGTTGGTTAAAGCATTCTTCTTAATTATTATTCATAAGAAAGAAGAATCCAAATGTTGTGCATAAAGATGAATAATGGATGAGGAGTTCTTCGAAGCTCGAAAACAATGCCTATCCCACTTTGATAACATAGAAAACATTTACGACTGAACTATTTATGGTAATTTCTACTTATTATTCAAGGACGTAATCGAGAGTTACTAGCTGTGAGACCAACCGACACGTGTATGAGTGCTATAATTAATTACTAACATTTGACAATTTCTGGTTTTTATTATTATTTCTGTCTTAATCTGAGAAGTAATCAAACGTGAGGTGACATAACCACGCTATGTATCTGTTATTCTTAGATTTTTCATGTTCATTCAAGGAAAAAATTATAAGCAGTTTTCAGTCAGTTGTCTCAAAGGATAGTGGTTACGCTTTGTTTGGCGCCTCCAAACCATAAATAAAAAACTGTCTCCTGTGCATAACTCTAGCAGTTCTGTTCTACATATTGTAAAATAAACAGTAAAATCTGATCAGTATTCAATTAGAGATCCCCGAAAAGTACTCAACCACGTACTGAGAAGCAATACAGTTTTATTTCAATAAAAGAGGTCATTAATATATTCACAGGACTTGAGTTGAGAGCCTTTGTAATGATAATATTAGTAAGAGGTGAAAACCAATTTATCACTTGAATTCAAGACTATTTCATTAAGATTTCAATCATCATGTAATAAATAAGTAATGACAGATAAAATATATATAAAATTTACTGATTCATCAAACAAAAATAATGACATTGAAGGAAATTTATTATGCCGATGTGATGGAGACACTTTTCCATGATATCATTTAATCAACACAAGAACTTCATAATGATGCATTTTTCTTTCTTCACCACCATAAGGGAAGTAGGCACATCCATGTGCTTCATGAATCTGTAATAAGATGAAGAGGAAAAAGAGTGTGAAATCGCATCTACTATCAGGGAATATACCTTTTAATCTAATTTCTCAGGTGACAGATGATATTAGCAGCATGATTAACAAAAACGTCTCATTTGATGAATAAACGATAATAATAATAATTTGCTATTTTCACAGTTAAGGTGTGCTAGAATGCTGACCGACCACAAAGGTGGTTCGGGGTTCGATCCCCGGCTGATGCACTCCTTAATCTCACTAAGCCAGAAGACAAGGGCCGGGCAACAGATCCTTTAATAAGGAAATCAACACATATTTATAGATTTTCATGTACATTATTAAAGATTATTGTTAGTAGAAAAACACAATCTTCAGATTGGCTGTTTCTCACTGAAAGTTAATCTTTCATCTCTTTGTGGCCGTTTATTGAAGTTCAGATTGTCTATCTGCAAATTGTATCCACCTTCTCAAAGTCTGCTGAGATTGGTTGTTGAATCAGTCTTTGTTCATATTTTTCTCACGACCAATATTGAGGACGTAAACTACTGTCTACCAGTTTAGCTAGCAGCTAGCTCTCATCACGATAAGACTAGTAAAGAAGGAAGGTTGGGCGTGAGGCTAGCAACCCCATTCCGCAAAAAATTAATGCCATTGATACCGAAACTTCAAAACTGTAGCCTGAAGCCTTATGCTGCAATGGAAACGTGAAGAAATAACAAATAATAAGTAATTCTCACAACTTAACATGGAAATGAACACAAATACCGATTTTTTTTAAAACAGTCAGTGATTTATTTCCCTTAATATACGTCCATTTGTCTCTCCTATTTTGGATACAACTTGTCAGTTTATGAAAGACGTTAGTCTTTTGTTAATGCTTTTTGAGTTATAAAATTGATGATGTCAAAAAGTAAAAAGTAAACTCAATGAAAGTATGAATAATTGTGATGTTGTGAATATGTTATACATGAAGGGATTTCGGTATGAACCAGAACAATCATTGTGCAATAGGTTAAATTTAATTTAAACTCTGCTATCCATAACTTGAAGTATAAGTGAAAATACATCTGGATTACAATATAGTCCTTAGATAATAATTTCTTATGCTTGTAAGAGTCAATTAATTTGCCAAAGTTTCTAGATTCAACAACTGCTTCAGTTCATACAAAAGTGGTACCCAACTAATTAAATTATTAAAAAGCATCTTTGTAAAATATACAATACTTAAGGCTTTGCGAAGAAAATGACAAGTCATGAGTTGAAACAGCTTGATGGCACTATAATTTCATCCTGTTTTAGTAGAAATAGGTGCTTACAAGTGGGCCATATCGAATTATATTGAATTATTTCCTTTTTTTGCACATCCCAGTAACATTAATTACTCATACTTGTCAACGGTGGTTCTCTAACTGATGTCAGCTCATGATTAAATCCTCCATGCAATCAAACAAAATCCCTACAAAAACCAATACTTGAAAATTAATCTGTGCTCACTAGTGACTGGCCCTATTCAGGCAGTTAAACTGGGGTTCTAGGGGGAAGCTGTGACCAGTAGGGTACAGCAGGTTGAAGATGAGGGAGTAACTCATCGAAGAAGACATTGCAAAGTGGTCGCGCTATGTCGTGAATTGGGAGAAGTTAGAATTCATGCACTGGCCATTGGATCGGGTCCCAGTGGCTCAATGGTCTACGAGCTCGCCTTGTAACCAGAAGCTCGTGGGTTCGAATCCCGGTGGGTGCGTACTGCTGAAGAGTTTCAAACTAGGACGAAACAGCTTTCCAGTACTCCCAGGTTTTCCAGTGGTTCTCTAACTGATGTCAGCTCATGATTAAATCCTCCATGCAGTCAAACAAAATCCCTACAAAAACCAAAAGTAGTAAATGTTTTGAGTTTGGTTCTGATCATAGAAACTGAGAAAACAATTAGGTCAGTCTAACTTACTGCTAACTGTATACTTCATCACTTATGATGCACCAATCACACGAGACAAAGATGCTTCAGTACTAAGTAAACAGTGGATCTAATATCTGAACGCATATTTTATTTATAAGAATAACTGAGTGAATTCCAAAAAATCGCTTAATATTTGAAACCAAGATCAATGGGTTAAAATTTACCTTTCCAACTACACGTTCCCCATCAATATGTTCACGAGCAATGTACAATGGCTCTTCAAAAGAGGTGATACCACCAACGACAGCATATTTTGGAACACTTCCACCACTGTATCGTTCCCACTTATAACTAAAGGAAAACAAAATGTCAAGCGTTGTTTAAAATGTTAGTGATTTTGTCAAGTTAGTTGAAATATATACACTGATACATAATACTCCTCTATTTACACATATTATGAGTGATATTATAAATAATATGTAATTTTATGAATATGCCAAATATCATCGGATGTTAATATATCATCTAGTTTACGTTTATGCAATACCTGTCATGTGGAAGTTCAATTCTCGGAGTTTTGATTGCAAATATGGCTGGCAGTGATCAGAGTATTCCAAGTTTGAGGGATAAGAGATATGTTTGAAATCAGAAAACTTATCTTAGTTTTTTAGCTGATAAAAGCTATTAGCATTCACAATTAAACATATCATTGTGATAAGAAATATATTTTATATACTATTCGCAATCCGAAGACATTTTTATTTTAAAGCGAACTAATATCTTATAATGGATCGCTTTAAAGTTTTTGCATGGTTGTCTTCAAGTAAGTTTTTGTGCAAAATGGATATCAAGGAACACTAAATAGCTGGTTCATCATAGTTTGGAACCACACAGATTTCATGCTCACAACTGTCACGCTGTCCGCATATAATGTTCACACTTTTGAGATAATAGCCATTAAAAGTGTAAAACAATCCACATTACAACATACTTTAAAAATAATTCTCATTTTAATATTTTGTCATTGATATAAAAAGTGAACATTAAAGTTTTTAAAGACCTAAATGATTACATACCCATTATTTTGTATTATAATAAAGGTTTTTTGTATTTCCCAATGAATGAAAAACAAAATGATACTGTTTTTATTGATCAAATAAAGTATAATTATATTTGATCACCAATAACAAAACTTATCATTGTGTGTAAACTATTAAAATATAATTATACTTTATTTGATCTAATCCACAATGCTCAAACTTTTTACTGATTTTAAGTTTTTATTGATGTTTCACTTTTTAATGCTATTAGCTTTATCAAAGTATTATTAAACCAGAATCTACAAAAATCTATAGAATCAATACACAAAATTGATTTTGACAATATTGAAATCATCGTCCAGAAAAGGCATGTCAGAAATCACAAAGAACGTCTAATATCGTGAGAAGCACTTCATATCAAATGGAATCTAAATTGTCTGAATAGAAATGATAGACCTAAACAGAATTTGACATGGTCACAACACCTCCCTCCCCCATGAAATGACAAAATCAACACGAATGTGATAAGCAATTTCATTATGTAAACACACGCTGCTTTTATAATTTTATACGCTTATCAAATCCAACAGCCTACACCTGGTTTTGTTATCTTTACCAATTCGTCAACTTGACAACGCAAAAATTACCCCATGCTTAGGAACGATGATTAAGTCTTTATATATAAGCTAAGAATTTGTAAATTCTGGTTTAATAATACTTTGATAAAGCTGTTAGCGGCATTAAATAGCGAAACGTCGGAAAAAACAATATCGTTTTGTTTTTCATTCATTGGGAAATGAAAGAAAACCTTTATTGTAATGAATATCATATACCCGATGCCAAAATGTTTTCAAACTGTTAAAAATGAACACTTGGTTTAGACATATATACCCATTATTTTGTTTTAATATCAAAACGCGTCAAACTGAACATATATAAACACACCAATGAGCAAAAATACTTACCAGCCTTGAGATCTAAAAGGTAATTTTGTATCACACAACACTTCATATGAATCAAATTCATATTCTTTACCAGCATAACTAGCATATGCTTTGCCCAAATTTGGTACCACTTTTCCAGGGATTAAATCACCAGAATGATACACACGAGCTATGTAAACTCCATCACCAGCTTCCACAGCATTGGATGGTACACGACCATCTCTTTCATGGACCCATGATAAACATGCTTGTATGCCTTTACCAACTTTTGCCATGGATAAGGGTTATCTTAAAATTTAAATGAATTTTGTTAAAACTATACCATATTTAAGCATGAAACATGAAATTCATAACCTCATGAATTATAGTTATTACTACAGCATAATAGTACTAGGTAAAAAGTGTTAGTTAAACTGAACGATAAGTTGTATAGTCAGTTGATCAGTTTCAAATTGAGATTTGGTAATCTCGTGATATTAATAAGAAACGGTAATGTTTGCGTAAATGATACACTGATTTGGAAAGACGTTATGAAGGGAGGTTGCATACTCTACGCCCACATGACAGTAGTGTTAATAAGCTTATAAATGAGTATTTTAGCCTGCATACCTGGCTATAAATTAACGAAATACATATTGGTAAACAGTAGTGAATTATTATTTTATCTGTAGTCAATTGTCATACTTTGTAATAACACTGAAGGGTTGTATCGTTTGGATAAGAATGTTTCACTCGATAATTTGCTGCTCGTTAATAAAGGCTATTTTGTGTTAGGGTGTAAACCAGCTGTGCATATAAAATGAGTGACTTTTATAACTAACCTTAGTTGATGAAATTGCCGATCCTATCATCAATAAAGCTTAAAGTATTTACGAAATATCCACAAGAAGACTTCATTAACTTATTCAAAGTCTCACAATTTATTATATAAACAATATAAATGAAATAAAATAAAACAGAATAGAAATACTTAAGGAAGAAAGATAATTATTAGAGGAATTCTATTTTACTGCTACAAAGGAAACAGCTCAAAGAAAGGCCATGAAGATGGGATTTTGAATTACATTTAATCTACTTAGTCTTATTTGAAATCAACGGAACCAAATGATGGATTCACTAAGTGACTATACAAAATGTCTTAAACTGACCGTCATGTTGACTGTGTAGGTTGGAAGTCAAGGTTACTGCGGGGGCGTGGGGAATTGAATGAATGGGTCTGAGTAACCATATGCCAGTTCATATAAGCAAAAAAAGGAATTAGAAGAATACTGAATAATAGTGGCTAGTGCAAGATGTGGAGAACAATATCGAGTGGAACTGGGATTGCACCGTAAGACTCAGTCTAAACATACAAAAGAACCGATGGATGACACGGGCAACAAAGGTTTGTCAACACAACATCGGATATAATTCAACATATCGTTGGTTATGTAAATAATTAATCTTGAGACCAAAAAATGATGTATATATATACATATATACATGAACAAGAGTTTCAACAGTCGGTGTTATGACGATAATTAATGTTGCTCCAAACTTTGTTAAAATTAATAATTATCACCATGTGTTAACATTTTTCTCAACTACTTTCATAATAATATAAATAACTAGAGCACTATAGAAGCAATTGATTATGAAATATACGTTTAATCAGAAGGAATCAAGATGGTAGATGTAGACATAACTTCATATATGTATATCACTTTAAGAGTATTAAGTTTCAGGAAATGTTCAAGTATTGGTTTTGTAGGGATTCTATTTGATTGGTCGGAGGATTTCATGATGAGCTGACATCAGTTAGAGAACCATAGGAAAACCTGGGAGTACTGGACTACTATTTCTCATTAGTCTGGGACACTTCAACAGTACGCACCACCACCTAGGTCCTTCTGGTTACAAGGCGAGCTCGTAGACCATTAATCCTCTGGGACTCAATCCATTGACCTGTCCATGAACTCCAACTTCTGCAAATTCATGACATACTACGACCACTTCGCACATTTAGGCCTATTGTCACATACAGTTCAAACTATAGCAATATAAACCCATTACCATTTTACCTATTTATGAAGCCAGTAAAGTATACTAATAAATCAATCAGAGTAGCCCTTTAACTATAACATCTACTGATAGGAACAGATCTTTGTAAACAAATAAGAATGTGATTTTTGCGATCTGGTTAAATAACTAAATAATTCACTGCCAGACTTGCTACCCTGTCATCGAACCTTCCACAGTTTCACCTGCTTATAATCGGCTTTGAGTTGCCTAGCAGGTTATACTTATAATGCTAATTAGTTACAGAATTTAAATAAAGTATGTGTGTCAGATTAACTTACTTGTGTAGTAGTTATTTGCAAATTAGACAAAACAAATTTACTCTTCGTGCAAGTGTATTTATAGCTATGGACTTTATACGAATTCATAATTTGTCACGACTTCTACACTTAGATCACGATCATTATTTCGCTTAAAATCTGTATAACTTAAAGTTTAGTTTAGTTTATCTTTGAGATATTAGCGTTTATCAATACTTACATTAGATAATAACCATGTGTATGAAGATTCTATTTAGGTCATGAAAAGAACAGAATAGTCACAAAGGTCATATATCTATATATGTGTGGATTAGATTCAAGTGTTATAAAACAAAATTAACACTTATAATCACTACAAAGTTTACATTGTGGGTTGAAATATGCGTGTATATTAGCAAAAATGGATGCTACTTTTTGTTTAAATTAACATGTAGTAACAAAAAACAAACAAAACAAACATTGCCGAATCAAGTCTCTAATTACTTACATCATATGTTTTTAAAAGCTATAAACTAATCGGATTAAATAAAATATATTGATGCACTAGAAATGCATAGCAACACTACAGAAACTGCTGAATATAATTACTGTACAGTAAGAACTACAGTTTTAGCAGAAAAAAATGGTACCATCTTTTATTTCGTTGCCTTCTGGTCAGCTGCTTACAGGGCTAAGACATTATTAAATATATCTACAACAACAATTTTGACATACTTGCACAGAGTTCATTTTAAACAAAAATCAATCGATCAATATACGCATACACTAATAATATATATATATACATATATATATATGCAATATTAAACACTATTCCGAACAATAATAATCAGCTATCGCTGAAAGTGCCATCGCCAGGAATCTCCTCGATACGGGTCATGAGGCGGACGTCGAAAATTCGTTCAAAATTATCAATAGGCAAAAGAGCTCAATTCTCCTTAAGTATGCTGAAGCCATTTCCATCAAGCGCCTGAAACTTGATTTATGCTTCCAGAAAGAAACGGTTATCAGTCTTTCTTTGCCCTGTTAACTGGATATTTTTCATCTTTCTTTCATTTGAATGCGAAATGCTAAAGGTTTCCATGGTGTATGATTATTATTGTTAGGAATAGTGTTTAATATTGCATATGTAGATATATATATATATATTATTAGTGTATGCGTATATTGATCGATTGATTTTTGTTTAAAATGAACTCTGTGCAAGTATGTCAAAATTGTTGTTGTAGATATATTTAATAATGTCTTAGCCCTGTAAGCAGCTGACCAGAAGGCAACGAAATAAAAGATGGTACCATTTTATTCTGCTAAAACTGTAGTTCTTGCTTTGTTGAAATTCATTAAGGGGAATAAATGTATTCTACAGTAGTTCACAAGTTATGAATAGTGATTACTGCCTTTCAAATATCTTAGCAGATGAAGAATCTTTATGGTGTTTGATGAGCACTCCATTTCTTGGCAAACTAAAGTAAAATATACTAGATTTGCAGTAAATGGTCTTTCTTTCTGTATCGAAATTTATCAAAGGAACCAGCTGTATAAAATATACTAGTCCTACTTTTGCATAAGCGAGTTTATTTCCTGAGGATACCTAATGAATATTCACAACAGACAACAATCAACATAAATGGAAGGAATCTGAAAGAAACAACCTCCTTTACCTACCTGGGAAGCATCGTTTCTACTACAGGAGGAACTGACGAGGTTATCAAGGCTAGAATCGGAAAAGCAAGGCAAGCTTTCATTTCTCTCAAGTCTGTGTGGAGGTCAACAGCACTCAGCATCAAAAATAAGATCCGGATTTTCAACTCCAATGTGAAGTCAGTCAGAACTACTCACTATACGAATCAGAGACTTGGCGCGTCATAAAGAGCATCTCAAACAAACTTCAGACTTTCATTAACAGTTGTCTTCGCTCAATACTCAAGATCAGATGGCCGGCCAGAAGAGATCAGCAACAGGGTGGGATCTCTGGCAGTGAGCTAACAAACCAGGAACCGACTGTGAAACAAATAGGCAGGAAGAAATGGAGATGGACTGGCCATACGCTGAGGAAACCATCAAGTGACATCACACGCCAGGCCATTGCTTGAGTGGAACCCGGTCGAAGGGGAAGCGGCGAGTTGGTCGTCAGTGCAAGGGTGAATTGGAGGAGGTCATGTGAGTAGGAGATGAAAGCATGTGGGCAGACTTGCAGCGTGATGAAAAAGTTGGCGGAAGACCGAAGGCAATGGAGACGCGCAGCTGAAGCCCTATGTTTCCCATTAGAATTAAAGGAAATAATAATAATAATTGAATATTCAGTCTAAAATTGTTTGGACAAATAAAAAATATGAACGATGAATTACCTAGACTAGCAATTCAACTGTGCTTGTGGTGGGGCGAGTTATACCGGCTGTTGCTCTGGGAACTTGACTTTTCATGCTTAAGAACATCTCCCAGTATGGCTAAGTAGAGATGCAGTAAAAACCATCAACAGTTCGATGTTAGACCATCTGGTGCAAACCGACCACAAAGCCAGTATTGAAGAATCCTTCTCTATCATCTACCGGGTACCAAATAAATTGCCAAAAACACAGAAATACCGCTTGCTCAAAACACCAGAGGTTATCGCGATTCGCCTGAAACAACCAGTGGTTTGTATGCAAAAGAAGCAAGTTCAGCCACTACTGATACCCTGGCCTGCCTTCAGTGGAGACTACAAATTCACGAATTTCTGCTACTATCCTTTCTAATTTTTCTGACATTCAGCCTATTTTATGTTGATGCTATTGAGCTGTAATCTATTGATATTATTGATTCGATGTTATCTAAACATTAATGTTGTTCGTAACACTAATTCATTCATTATTATGTATATATAACTGTAGAACCTGATGATGAAGTTATCGAAAAGAGTAGTCTTTGTTCAGTAACCATTTTTTTTTGAAAAATATGAAAAATGTCAAAAAATATTTCGACTTTTTCCAACCACATAAGTCGAATAAAACTTAAAATGCGCATCAAAAATTAAGACAATTAATTGAAATGTACATAACTGTAGTTAGTTAGCATTAAGCCTCAAATTGATAATCAGAAAGGATTCTTATTCATATTTCAAGTCATTATCAACATTCAATAAAGTAACTCTAGTCCAACAACTAAGAATACGTCGGAATCTCTAAATTCAATTTCCAAAGAACTAACTCCAGATTTTAGAGATTTTCAGACTTCTATCGTCATCTAAGTTTTTATTTAGGCATTTACCATTAACTTTTTGGGAGAATGTCATTCAGTGAGTCAAATGTGATTAACTTATTTATTAGTTTCAAAGTACAGGCTGAACAATGCACATGTATGTAGTTCATATAGGTAAAGGTGGAACGGGATAATTGGTTAGGAAATCCTTTCCGAAGGATATAATTACCATGTTGATACTTATTTGTATATTTTAAAAAACTTTGTACTTATTATCCCGTTTTTATCATAGATTGCATGTCATTGTTCTGACGTTTGCACATCATCTGTAGACTTAAGCCTTATTATCTGTCTTTGTCCCCGTTTTTAATCTTTAATTCTAGTGCTTCTCTTGGTTAAATAATCCTGTTATATGGTACTAGGTGTGTAAGTGGGATCTAATTTGATCTATAGGGCTGCCATAACAGCACTATCGAAGTAATTTTGATATGTTATTAGTGCTAAATGGTATCGCAGATTTTATTTCAGATAGATTGTTTTTACACTTTTATACTACACGCGAATCAATAAATGTGTGGGCAAACGTAAAGATGGATCGGACTAACGTTGAAGAGGCCGTCAAATGACATCGTGCTCCGGGCACTCAAGTGTAATTCCAATAGGAAGCGATGATTAGGTGGTCAGATGGTGACATAGAAGAGGTCTTGCGAAGAGCAGATGAGGGATTATGGGCAACTGTGGACCCAAATTAAGAAGACAGCACCAAACAGAACAAATTTGAGATGTGTTACCAAAGCCCTATGTTTCGCTCGGAACCCCATAATAATAACAATAATACAAGAATCAAGAAAGTTCTAGTCAGCTATAAGGGAAGGCACAAAGGTCGGTTTTCTGCTCTCAGACCATAACACATGGGTTTTGGTTGTTATAAAAGGTTTGTTTACTTATCAGGAAATCTGTTATTCCACTTTTCATGAAAAGGTAAATGAAATCCCAAGACTAGATTGCAATGAAATCAGTTTCAGTCAGTTAGGTTATTAAATATAATGGTTGTTATGGGACCAAACAGTTCTAGGCAAATTTTTAATCCCATAGAATATTGGAAATAATGAACATGTTCCTCCCCCATATCACAGAATACAGAGGAAATAGAGTTTTTATGGAGTCATTACATAAATAATGCTTATTATAGCCTGCAATTAGTAGAAAAGATTTCATTACTTTGAATTCGGTAATCTAAAGTACTTGGCACGAGGAGCAAGATCTAAATTTTCAACATTGATGTAAAGTTCTTCAACAAACTCTAGAGAATTGTCTTATTATCGGAAGTATTTTGAACAGACTGGAGAATTCCATCAGTGAACTCCATTACTGGATACTGAAGATTAGATTGCCGACCGGGAAAGATAAGCGAGAAAGAAGGAAATCTTACAGTTAGTACACAAGCTGACATCCTTTTGCCCGACAAATAAAGTGAATGTAATGCGTTTGAACTGGACATATGCTGACGAGATATTCAAGTGATATCACATTATTTGCATACCTTTAGATGGAACCTGAATGGATGTGAGTCCAAGGGTGACATTGAGGAGATCATAGGAAGAGACAATGAAGGTTTGCGGGCAACTTTGATTCTGACCAAGGGTGATGTCGTGGAACCAAGTGCAGTGAAGCTGTGCTTTTGAGGCTCTCTGTTTTACTCCAAAATAGGTGGTGAATAAGAAAATAATAGTGATTTGCATAATAAGATAAAAGTACATTGTCGTTTTGAACTAAGTAAGTGTCTAATATTATGTTTTGCGGAAATAAGGTGATTGATGAGACGCTAATGTATAAACGCTGGACATAAAATTCTAGCATCATTTCTTGACACGTTTTCTACTTGCCGTTGTGAGGTTGGGAATTATTCATGCTTTATCAAAAGTAATCACCTTACTCCATTATTTTTAAAACAAAATTAACTTCAAGGATGTCTTTGAACAGAATAATACCGTATTACTTTAAGTAGTCTCTAGGGCTTCTTTGAGAATTCCATCTGGTCTTGTGGCCTTCTTGGCTTACAAGACTACTGTTTTGTCAAACTTATGGTGTTTG